GCTATCTCACACACTTGGTTGAGAAAAGGTGTTCCTTCTAGGCGTTTCGGCCCTCCCTGCCCCCGATGCCTGCCGACAATGGTAGCCGGAGCGTGGACGAGGCACTGGGTCAAGGGGGCGCCGCTGAGCCAGGTGCTGAGGGTGCTGCACGAAATCAGGAGGTTCCCGAGCGAGAGGGCGCCCATGTGATCGACCCATGGGAAAGGATCTCCACTCCTCAGAAGATAGACGGGGCTGCAGCCGGCCCTGAGTCAGATGAGGACGCTTGGAGAAACTGGGGGCGCGCAGGCTGGTCTGATTGGCATTGGTCTTCCTCCTGGAGCTGGTGGGGTTCCGGCTTGTGGGGAAAGGCACCTGGGGATGAAGTCAATCGAGACTATTCAGCGCCTCCGACGTGGCATGGGCTAGAGAATTTGGAGCTGTACTTGGCAAGTCTCAAGTCCTGGGACGGGCGGACCGCATTCAAGGCGGAGACCCGCGCCGGGCGAGTGATCGAGACGTTCCCCATCGAGCTTCAGGCGAGATTCAAGAGTATCAGGCACCCGACCGACGAGAGCGACGGCCTCAGTAAGGTCATTGACCATCTTAAGTTGCTCAACGGGGAGCGTCCAGGGGATAAAGAGCGTGAGGCCCACAATCAGGCACTATTTGACTACTCGATAAAGAAGGGAGAGTCCCTCACAGACTACGTGATCAGGAGAGATCAACAGATTGCGGCCGCAGAACGGCTGGGACTGACACTTCCTGACACGGTGAAGGCCAGGTACTACGAGGAAGGAGCTAACTTGAACCCCCAGCTTCGACTCAACTTGAGGACCCTGATGGCTGGCAAAAGGACCGTGGAGGCTGTTCGTTCTGCCCTACTGGAACTGGACATCACTGAGAGGCAGACGCTCCCGAAGCCACAGGCTCCAGCTCAGGCCAGGAGCTTCGCGACCACGGTACCGGTCCTCGACGAGGCAGGGGATTACGAGTGCGACGCATGTGACGACAGCGAGTGTTTCGGCCTCTACGAAATGGAGTTCGATGAGCAGGAGCTCGCCACCATCCTCGTTTCGCTGGACTCACAGGATCTTGACGAGGAGCACATCATGGAGGTGTTTGCTGAGGTGACGCTCCCTCAGCGTCGTCGTACGTGGGCAGAGTCTAGGCAGCTCAAGACGAACAGAAAAGTGGACAGGGATTTCTTTGACCGCAGCAAGGGAAAGGGAACGAAGAAGGTCACCAGAGACGATTTTAAAAAGAGGTCCCGCTGTTCGAACTGCGGGGAAAAAGGGCATTGGCGAGAAGACTGTCGACGACCATATCGGAGTAAGGCCGATAGGCTGAAGTCCGAGTCATCACGGCCGGCAGCGGTCAACAAGGGCCCGGACAAGAAGCCAGCGCAGAGCTCGTTCTACTTCAATTTGGACTACGACGCGACCCACTCCGGGACGAGCTGGGCAGCGATTTTGGATGAGTCGGGCCAGGTGGGCTCGCTCTCCGCTGCCGCCGCGACTGCGGGTCAGGTGGACCAGCAGGAGCGCGACCTGGGTCAGGTGGATCTGGAAATGCTCGCGGCGGCGACGCTGCAGGACATGGACGAGTACGCGCTGGTAGACACCGCTGCTGGACAGGCTCTGATAGGCACGCCAGACATCGACAAGTTGAGGGCTGCTTTCAAGAAAAAGGGTTTCGAGATACACTTTGTCGACACCGACAGAGTTCCCACGGCGAACGGAGTCGGAGGAAAAGTCAAGCCAGTCGGAGTTGCAGCAGTTCCAGTGTCGCTTCAACATTGTGGAGTGGTGGAGTTCTTGGTCCTCCCGCATCCTTGCCGTCCCTTGCTTCCGGCGAAGTTTCTCGATTTTCTGAGGTCAGTAATAGATCTGCGTCGTAATGTGATGACGATTGGAGAAGATGGAAGTCGACGTGATTTGGATCTGCTCAAGCTTCCTTCGGGGCATCGAGCAGTATCATTGATAGGATGCAAGCCGAACGAGTTTGCAATCAGTGAGGATCTGGCCAGCAAATTTCCGCCTTTCGTCGTGAAGGCAGGTCGTGGTGATGTCTGGGCAGAGATCCCGATGACGCTCCAGGACTGCTGGGTTCAGGTTCCAGGTGCTGTTCGTCGAGTGCACGTGGGCCCTCGCCGTGAGGCTTTCAGCTTCCCCGAGGCTGAGCCGCCTCCTGTTCCAGTCTCGCAGTCAGGGCCGGGCCAAGTCACGTACCAGATGCTTGACAGTGAGTTTTCCGCTTGCAGCGTTGTCGAGAGCATCTGGGTCGACGGCATCCCGAGCGAGACCCTGAGCTTCACGGGCCGCTGGATCGGGTACACCGAGTTTCCGACCGAGCGCTCGAATCAGGACTTAGGGGAAGGGCTGCAGCGGGGCACGTGCGGTAGGTATCACTCTTTCCCTCTCTCTCTAGGCCTCGATTCAGAACAGCCGGGTACCAGGACCAGACAGTTTTCGGGTCTCGGGACTAGTCGATCCTCCGTTGCACATCCCGGCTCAAGCAATGCCAGCAAACAGCCGAACCAGCGAGACCGACCAGCGGTACCACTAGGACAGCACCAGAGCGATGCCATCCGAGAAGATCAGGATCATCAAGAGCCGGAGCGCCCGCTCGCTACGGAGCTTGAGGCACCAGGCGCTGAAGGCCCAGCGCGACGACTTCCAGCCCGACGAGGACCTGGAGGTCATTCCCGAGAACACGGAGGAGGACCCCGACTCGGAGCTCGAGATGAACTGGGACCAGACTCCAGATCCTTGGATAGACGGCATGCTGAGCTCAATCAACTACGAGGAGGAGAGCATGACGGCGGTGGAGAAGGAGCTGTTCTTCGAGGGTGCCTTCCTGCTCAGCCCAGCTGCGCGCACCTGGAGGAGGTGGTCGATCAAGATGATGCTGTACCTCAGGGTGTGTGCGATTTCCCGTCTGTCGGCGATCGTAGCCCCTCGCATGTCCAAGGTGAAGAGCGAGGAGGAGGAAGCGAAAGCGAGCTGCTCCCATCCGATGGAGGCGAGGTGGTGCGGCGGAAACGGGTACGGGTACTACACGAAGTGCCGGATCTGCGACACCCGGCTCAGCTTCGTGAGGAAAACGAAGGAGGGGATCGAGGAGACCAAGCGCAAGGTGCTGGCCAAGCGCGAGTCCAAGACGAAGGTCGAGAAGGAGGAGTCGCCGGCGGAGATCAAGGTCGAGCCTCCGCCGAGGTACAAGGCTCCGTCGAGGTACGTCGAGTTCTGCGACGGGGTGCCAGTCAAGCCGCCGCCGCCGACGGCGAGGAAGTCCCTGCCAGTCACGAAGCCGAGGGCGATCAGCAGCGCGGCAGGCAGCGGCGGTGCGGCGAGCAGCAGCAGCGGCAACCTCAGCAACATCGAGAAGGGCTTCGAGACGATGCAGTGGATGATGGTGGAGGACCGCAAGGAGCGCCAGCAGCAGATGGACCTGCTGATCAGCGCGATGAAGGGGCTCGGAGCTCTGCGCCCGGCGGCCGCGCCTCAGGAGGACGAGGAGAGCTAGGCGCCACCCAGAGTGACGCATGCACGGAGGCAGATGCTTCCGGCTCTGCCGACCTCTCGGGTCGGTCTGCTAGGCTTGAAGCCAAATGTCCGGATGAAAAAGGAAGCCCTGCCCATGTCTCTCATTACCGTCCTTCCTCCTCTGCCTCATCCCTTTTCTTTCTGAACAGAAAGATCCCGGCCCAGGCTGAGATCCTTGACGCCCTTCCCGACCCGGGATCTCACGGCAGCTGGATTGTCAAGAGTTTCAAAGCCGCGGCGAGAGACCTCGCCCGCCCGGTCAGAAAACGGGTTCCTCGTTTCGCGTCAGGGGTCTGGGATCTGGAGACAGGTAAGAGGGTCAGTCAAGATGAGGTCTCCTCGTTGCTCTCTTGGGTTCCCAGAAGTCTTTCGGACCAAGAAAAAGGAGTCTGGGCCACGCAGCTGGCTATGGAGCGGTCAGGAGGCCGGAATTTCGGAGACCCGCTCGAAGGGGTTCGAAGGCTTCGGGTCCTCGACTCAGAGTCAGGGACGGTCGTGCTGGACGAGCTCTGCGTCTTGTTGTCCTTCACGGCTGTCGCCGAGGCCTTAGATGGTCTCCCCGCCAGTTCCCTGGACATCGAGCTCTGGACCGAGGCTGCCGGGGCCCCAGTCGGCCTCGACCCTAGGCATCCAGTTTTCTGGGAGCAGGCGGAGTCCGAGATCACGGGGGAGCTTCAGGAGGCTTCGGGAGCTGCGAGTTCGACCTGGTGTTTCGCGGACCGCTTCGCGGACTTCGAACAGGACACATTTGTTTCGCCTACAGTTCCGAGGAGGGTCCGTCAGCAGGCTCTGCAGGTCCTGGAAGGGGCGGGGATTAGGAAGGTTAAGAGACGTACCCGAAAGGACATCCAGAAAGCCCTGAAGAGTTTGGGGGCTACGATATGTCTCGAGTTTTTAGTTTTTTTTTTTTTTTTGTTTTTTTTTTTTTTTTTTTTCTTTTCTTTTTTTTTTTTTTTTTTTTTTTTGCTTGTTTTTTTTTTTTTTTTTTTTTTTTTTTTTTTTTTGTCTGTTTTTTTTCTTTTTTTTTTTTTCTTTCTTTTTTTTTTTCTTCTCTTTTTTTCTTTTTGTTTTTTTCTTTTTTTGTTTTTTTTTCTTTTTTTTTTTTTTTTTTTCTTTTTCTTCTTTTTTTTTTTTTTTTTTTTTCTTTTTTTTTTTTTTTTTTTTTTTTTTTTTTTTTTTTTTTTCTGTTTTTTTTTTTCTTCATTTCTTTTCTTTTTTTCTTTTTTTTTTTTTTTTTTTGTTTTGTTTTTCTTCTCCGCTCCGAGAGTGGAGCCCGAGCTCAGGCGTCTGGGCTTCCCTACTTCCCCCTCCCTCGATCTTAGGACGGGGTGGGATCTTCGCAAGGCTGAGGACCGAAGACGTCTCTGGAAGCTTCTGGACACTGAGAACCCTCTCACGATCCTGATGTCCCCCCCCTGCACGGTGTTCAGTATTTCCAGGACGACGGCGGACCAAATGGATCCGGCTGAGAGAGCCCGGGCAGAGCAAGAGGCTCTCCTTTTCATTTCTATCTGTGCTCAGGTCGCGTCGTACCAGCATCAGAAGAGGCGTTTCTTTCTGCTCGAGCATCCTTTGACCGCCAGCAGCTGGCAGTTGGTGAGTATCCAGAAGCTCGCGGCTCTTGAGGGGGTTCGTTACGTGGACATGGATCAGTGTGCTTTCGGGCTTTCGGTGTCCCCAGGGACCGTTTCCAAGAAACCCACTAGGGTGTTGTCTAACAGTCACGATCTCCTGCGTATCTGCTCTCGCAAGTGCCCCGGAGATCATGAGCACCTGCACTTGGTGGGAGGGGCCAGGGCGAGGGCGTCGCAGCAGTACCCCCGTGACCTCGTGGCCGCGCTCTGCAAGGGGGTGGACCTGACCGCCGCGCGCGCTCTCTTTTGCCAGTCGCCAGAGGACGATCCGTCCTATCCTGCCAGAATGTCTGAGGAGGGAGTTCAGCAGGTTGACTCAGACACCGACGAGGAAGAGGATTCCTCGCCCTCCCCTCCAGGCCCCGAGGATCCGCCTCCAGGGGGCGATCCTGAGCCCAGGGTTCCGCCGGGGACGGGGAGTCTTTCTGAGCCGAGACTCGACCGAGAGACTCAAAATGAAGTGCATAAATTGCACGCCAATTTGGGTCATCCCAGGCATGAAGAGTTTGTCCGGTCCCTTAAAGTTGCTAAGATAAGAGACGACATCGTCAGGTGGGTGGCGAAGTCTTTTCGATGTCCCCAGTGCGATGGGGAGGCCCGTCCGCACTGGAGACGTCGAGCCCAGCTTCCTCGGACGTTTCGTTTCAACAAGCTTATGGCGGTGGACCTCTTTTACATCCAGGCCTTCGGAGAGAATATCCCGGTGCTGAATATGATAGATCACGGGTCGAACTATCAATGCTGCGCGGTCTTGAAAAATGCTACGGCTCAACAGGTGTGGTCGGGCTTCGTTCGGGCCTGGGTGCGGCCAATGGGGGTGCCAGAGATACTCATGTCCGACGGGGGTCCCGAATTTGAGGCCATCTTTCAGCGTGCTCTCGAGAATTTAGGGGTGTATCATCATGTCTGTGATGCCGAGAGTCCACGCCAAAACGGAAGGTGTGAGAGGCACGGGGGACTTGTCAAGACCGCTTTGCTTAAGGCCAATGAAGGCGCCCACTTCTTTCGATTTTTTTTTTTTCCAATCTTTTTTCGATCTTTTTCTTTTTTTTTCCTCGTTCGATTTTTGTGAACAATTAGCTTTCTTTTTTTCGATTGTTCGTCTTTCGTTTTTTGGTGTTTTTTTTTTATTCGTTTTTTATTCGTTTATTTTTATGTATTGTTCCTTTCGATTAAGGACCGCGAGGAGCTGGAGGACCTGATTTGTGAGGTTGTCTCGGCGAAGAACCGTTTCAGCAATCGTGGGGGGTATTCGCCGTTTCAGATGGTGTTTGGAGAGAACCCCCGCATGCCTCAGCATCTTCTCTCAGACGATGCCGTCGACGAAGTCGGGGTTCAGGATTTGGTGCTTGGCGCACGGGACTCTGAGAGTCCGGCCTCGACTTTCGCTCGAAAGCATTTCTTGCGTGAGGAGGCACGTCGTGCGGTGATGTCCGTGGATGTCACGGAACGTTTGAAGTATGCCGCTCGGGCCAGGCGTCACGCTGATATTGCCTTTCGACCTGGTACGTGGGTGTATGTGTGGAGAAAGCCGCACGGAGCCAAGCAGAGAGAGGGCTCTCGGGCCCGCTGGACTGGTCCCGGGGCCGTGGTTTTCCAACAAGGCACCACCGTGTGGGTGGCCATGCGCACCCGACTGCTTAAATGTTCGTCTGAACAGGTCCGAGAGGCAGCTCGTGATGAAGCCCAGGGAGCTGAGCTTCTTGACTCCCAAGCCCTGGCCGGTCTCAGATCGGAGCTCCAGAACCCATCTGGTCGTGTCGGGGCCGTCGACGTCGAGGCTGAAGGACCTCCACCCCCTGAAGCCTGGGACGCCAGGGAGCCGGATCGAGATGCGTTTGCTCCTCGGGTCGCCCAAGTCGAGCGACCAGTTTTGCCGGCGCCGCAGGTCGAGCCTGCGGCTGCGGCACCCCCCTCCGACTCGGTCAACCAAGGTACGACCACCGGAGGACGAACGGCCACCGTTTCACATAGCAGTCGCCAGCCGCCCTCCTCGACTGGAACGACTCCGCCTCCCGAAAACACTAGATGGGGCCCCCTTCCCGAAGCGCTGAGGCAAGCCCTTGATGCCCCACCACTCCCGAGGTCTCTTGCTCCCTTTCCTGCCTCTCCCCCTCCTGTCGTTCCTGCCATGCCCTCGCCCTCCATTCCTCCACCCACGGATCCCGTGGAGGTGGTTCCTCCCCCCCAGCAGAGACCAAGGCTTACTCCAGTCGAGGAGGCGAGCGGACCAGGACGCGTTCAGCGAGCCGTGCAAGAGTTCGATCGGAGATCGGGCGGAGTTTTGGGCAACGATGTTCCGCTGTGCATCCTCCGGGACCGGGCTTCTCGACCGTCGCCCGCCGGTTCCGCTCCTCTCGCTCCCAGACCGACTAACAGGTCCAGGTCCCCGGCCCGACCCGAGCTGCCGGTCCAAGAACCAGGCGAGGCCTCTAGAGGCCCAGATGATGCCAGCTGGTTTGCTGGGTACGCCAATCGGGGGGATCCTCAGGACGACGAGCTCTGGAATGAGTTGTGCACTTGGTACGGTTGGAAGTCGGACTTCTGGGAAGCGTCATTTAGTTTTGCCTCGCTCCCTTCCAAGTGCACGAGTGGTGCCCCTCCGGCTCGCAGAGGAGCGGAAGTCTCTTTGAAGAGTTTGACCTCGGAGGAGAGACGCCTTTTCGACTTCTCCGATTTAAAGGAGTGGCAGGCGATCGTCCAGTCAGGAGCTGTGCGGGTTGTTCCGTCTGCCGAGGCTCAGCTGATTCGCCGCCGATGCCCCGACCGGGTTCTGGGATCCAGGATGGTTCGCAGGTTCAAGCCCCAGGAGGGCTTAGGGGCGCTCCCAGAGGCTAAGTCTAGGTGGTGTGTGCAGGGTCATCACGACCCAGATGGGGGGGAGCTTCAGGTCTACGCCCCGACCCCCCAGGCAGAGAGTCTGATGCTGACTCTCCAAGCGATCTCCTCCCTCAGTTGGACACTTGAGGTGGCTGACGCCAAGAACGCTTTCTGCCAATCAGATCGCCTTAGGCGCCCTAGGGGCGCGATCTTTTGTGAGCCATGCCAAGGTCTGAATTTGGCTCCTGGTGAGCTGATCGAGCTCGTTGCGCCCGTGTACGGTCTGAACGATGCCCCGCTTTTGTGGCATGGGACTCTTACAGATTACCTTGTCACTGATGGTTTCAAAAAATCGTTGCTTGAACCCTGTTTGTGGGTTAAGCGTTCCAGTACGGGGGCCCCCAGAGCGATTTGTCTCATTGAGGTCGATGATCTCATCATAGCCGCCCATCCAGAGGAGAGGGACGGGTTCAGGTCTCGCTTACAGTCTCGGTTCAATTTCGGGAAGTGGAAAATCGGAGAATCT